GTTGATGCGAGATACACGCCAAGATGTATGCTCACTTCGTGCCGCACAGGGAAACAACCCACAGCCAGATCAATCTGCAACTCATGACCCAGGTACAAAGCACGTTTAGTTGCAAAAGGGTTCACCCAAAGGCCTGGGGTTGATTTTCACAAGACATTTAGTCTGGTTGTTAAACCCACCACCATTCGGACAGTACTCACTCTTGCTGTACATAATAATTGGGCACTACATCAGATAGATGTCAACAATGCGTTTCTTCAGGGGAAGCTTCATGAAGATGTATATATGTCACAACCTCCCGGCTATGAAAATCTGGATCATCCCGACTATGGTTGCCATCTCAAGAAGGCCATATACGGACTTCGACAAGCTCCTAAGGCCTGGTACGATGCACTCACTGATTCGTTGATTCAAATGGGGTTCCAAATGTCGCAGTGTGATAATTCTCTTTTTGTTCAACACAATCTGGGAGTTACTATTTATGTTCTGATATATGTGGATGACCTCATACTCACGGGGAGTAATGAAACACTCATTCAACATGTAATTACCTCTCTTTCGAAAAAACTTTCTCTAAAGTATCTTGGTTTACTGCACTATTTCTTGGGCATTGAGGTATATAGGGATGCCGACGGTTTGTTTCTCAGTCAATCTAAGTATATACAGGAGGTGTTACATGACACTCAGATGCAAGACTGCAAAGGTGTTCAGTCACCCATGAGCACGTCCACGAAACTAATGCTTGATGACGGACCACCCAAAACTGATGACAAAGAGTACAGATCTGTGCTTGGTAAGCTTCAGTACCTTTCGTTTACACGACCTGACATCACCTATTCGGTAAACAAGCTTACTCAGTTCAACACCTCTCCCTCTGTGGCTCACTGGAAGGCAGTTAAACGGATCCTTTGGTATCTTAAAGAAACATCCCAGCATGGTATTCGTATTTCCCCACAACCTTCAACTGCTCTGTATACCTATGCTGATGCCGATTGGGCGGGTGATATCAATGATCGCCGCTCCATCTCTGGTTACATTGTTTATCTAGGCACGACGCCTATCTCCTGGTGGTCTCGTAAGCAACCTACTGTCTCTCGCTCCTCCACTGAGGCAGAGTATCATGCGTGCCGTTGCTTCTGCCTTGTCTGAAACAAACTGGATCACACACTTGCTCAAAGATCTTCATGTGCCGCTCTCTGTTGCTCTTACAATACTTTGTGATAACCTTGGGGTCACTTACATTGCCGAGAATCCAGTACATCATACAAAAATGAAGCACCTTGAGGTTGATCTTCACTTTGTTCGTAACCAAGTCCGCAATGGCCTAATCCGCGTATCGCATGTCCACTCCGCTGATCAACTTGCAGATCCACTCACCAAACCATTGTCCAAGCCGGCCTTCCAACGCATGCTTCCCAAGTTAGGCGTTGTATCTTCACGCCTAACTTGAGGGGGCATAATAGCACATGTACTACTGCTGTTACATCTTAGCACTTGCTGTTAGGTTTGAATGGGTCTTTGTGCAGTTACTTTAGGCTACAGTTTAGTATCCGCTGGATTTTAGCTTTTTCAGTTAATTTGTTTTTTGTACTGGTTATATTTTCCTACCTTCTAGGAGTTAGCTTAGCACAATTGGTTACTTCCTTTGTATATAAACTCCATTGGAGGCTCATCAAATATACTGACTTTTCATTCTATTTTTCTGCCTTCATAAAAGGTACTTATAAGCTAGTTTGACCAACTTATAAGTTTAGCCAAACACCCTCTTAGTCCTAAGTAGAGGCAGCAATATATGCAGAGACTGAGAGATTCTTAGTTTCTTGGGAGTGCTCGAAATAAAATTGACTGTGTCATACCTTTTAGTCGCAGGTAGATGTGGAACTTATATACACTATATATTGACATAACTATTATATATGCTCAGTCTCTATTTGGGCATGGTTATATACCCAAGTTTTCAAGTGCTAATTTTAGCTTTTCATGTGTGACAGAAAGCAGTAATCCTGTGGACGTATGAGCCTTCTGAAAGAGATGCTCGACTAGCAAATGAAGCTTTGAAGTCAAAAAAGAAAACCATCACCCAATTACAAGTGATAGTAGAGATAGCTTGTGCATCATCTCCTGATCATCTGGTCGCTGTAAGACAAGCATATTGTGGCCTCTTCAACTGTTCACTTGAAGAAGATATCGCCGCAAATGTCCCTATGCCTGTACAAAAGGTACGTATGGTCACTTCCAGCCACATCTACTAGCCTAAGGACACAATCCTTTTTAACCAACTCATTCGAGTTTTCTAAAGACACCAAGTAATTCTCAGTGTCTTACCATAGATCTGGTGGGATGCATATAGAGTACTGAAGACATCATACCTAGATGATGATTCATCATCAGTTTTATAGCACAATTTCTGATGATTGATTGTGATGTTGAGTTGTTGTTACCAACCTCTATAGAAGTTACTGAAATGATGTGTTATGTTGATGTCACCAGATTCTTATTGGTCTAGTAAGGTCCTATAGATATGATAAAGAATTGGTGGATCCTAGTCTTGCAAATGCAGAAGCTGCTATCCTTCGTGAAGCCATAAGGACAAAGCAGTTGGATTCTGATAATCATCTGATGATACTCAGCACAAGGAATTTTCATCAGCTTAGAGCAACTTTTGAGTGTTATAAGCAAAATTACGGATTCTCCATTGACCAGGTTACTTTTCTTACAAAGCTGCCTGCGCAACCTTCTTCTTATTAGTTCTGCTTGTTCATTTTGTGTCTTCTATGTGCATTTTATTCTATCTACTTTAATGATTCTTTTACAGGACATTAAGAGCTGTGGAAAAGGTCTGCTGGAATCTATACTGAAGGTGGTTATCTGGTGCATTGATTCGCCAGAGAAACATTTTGCTGAGGTACTAAATAAAGAACATATTTTTCCTTTATATTTTGGTTTAAGTATTTTTCTCGTTTTGACACCCTTTTACCTCGCAAATCATCTGTCAGAAAATCAGCACAGCCCTACCTTAATATAATAATGTTAAGGCAAACACATGCTCCTGCTTTCTACATCCACGGGATCACATTTTTTCTAAACTAGACCATATATTTGATTTAAGTATGACAGTGCTCTTAAATTGCATATCAATATTCTGGTTGGTCTAGACTTAAAGAATCATCGGCACCATAGAATATAAAATCTCCTCCTTATCTTTCTTCTTCTCTGTCGTTATTAGCTATATTAAACGACCAAATAGAGTCAAAGCTGTGGAACCTGTAAAGGGCCTTAATTACCAGGGTGAAGGATTCCTTCCATTTTATTACTTTCAGCTTGTTCAAGTTATTGTGGCTATTAACAGGTTAATTCTGTGCGTAATTAGTCTGAAAGAATGTGCCAGCTCCTATGTTAGTTCAGTTGTACTTTGCTACGATATCTTTATTGTGTTGAAAGCACCAGTTGATTTAATTGTATCTGATAATTTAGTAAAGTACCTTCACTTTTTTTTGGTCAAATGAAAACATTTTATTCAACCAAGTAAGCATATATACACCTCCTGCTCATTGGACTCTAGAGACATGACCAAACAAAAATTAACCAAAACTGTGGCTTTCAAAGTCCTCCTATGCCAATCTATCCACTACTGAACTTAGCACCTTCTAGGAAGGGTATCGGCTTAGTAGCTTCCTGCATTAGCATAGACTCCTACTAGCAAGGAAAACTATTTAATCTATCCAGTATATTTTTCCATTTACAATATCTCGGGCCTGCAATGTGCAATTGTGATGCTATTTCCCTAATTCTGTCAGAATTCTCTCTTCTTGTTTGTTGAACTCTTCTGTATGTTGTATTCTCTTTCACGTTGGAATGATCAGGTTGTCAGAGCCTCGATTGTCGGGATAGGAACTGACGAGGAATCTCTAACTAGAGCCATTGTAACTCGTGCTGAAGTTGATATGATGAAAGTAAGGGGAGAGTATTTCATTGCGAACAAGACTAGCCTTGATAATGCAGTTATTGGTGACACATCAGGTGATTACATGAAGTTCCTGATGACACTGCTAGGTGCCAAAGTGTAGCTCTTTGGATTTGAACATTGTGTTGTTGTGTTTCAATACTATGACTCTACTTTATATGCTTTGAAAAATGCTATAGCAACATTGATGGGTGGATTTGTTGTGAAATACTTAAAAGTGTTGGAGAGTGATTTATGTGTAAGTTTGTGGTTTGTCACTTGCTTGTGAGTAAAAAGCAGCTTTTATTTCCTGAGACATGGAACGTGGCTAATGAATTGAAACCCAAAGAAAGAAATAACTGTTATAAATAGGATCCAGAAAAAAGAAGAAGCTATTTTTAGGATAAAGACAATTATTCATATGAAAAGTGAAAACCATTTCACTTCAATAGGAAGAAGAAAAAAAAGGTACTTGCAAGATACTAAAGTTCTGTTATCGACCATAGTTTAAGTGGCACATCTTGATAAAATGACTCAAAAAGTTAATTTAGTTTTGCATTAGAAAGAATGTCAATAGAAAATCATATTCTAATTGCACTATTTTAAATTGCCAGTATAAACCGTTAATTTTAGCGGTATTGTGCTTGTCATTACTTTTAAGTGACTTTGTAGAAGTGAGACTAAATTTTCATGAATAGTGTTAGTAAAATATTTAAAATCTACTACTATAGGGGATTTTACTAAAATTGTTCAGTGACTTGTGGGTGGGGTATGGGAGAGTTATGGAAAAACCGATTTTATTGGATGGAAAATAATATATTTGAAGAACTATAAAATCCCATGAAAAATGTTGTTTGGGTATTGCTAAAACTTGTTGGGTGAAGCTAAATCCGATGTTTGGAAGCCTTTGGGACTGATTTGAGGAGTGTTCGATCGAAACATAAAGCTGAAGAATGAAGACAGAGTTGCAGCTAACTTCAGACATGTGGGTGAAGTCGATCGAAACATAAAGCTGAAGAATGAAGACAGAGTTGCAGCTAACTTCAGACATGTGGGTGAAGTCGATCGAAACATAAAGCTGAAGAATGAAGACAGAGTTGCAGCTAACTTCAGACATGTGGGTGAAGTCGATCGAAACATAAAGCTGAAGAATGAAGACAGAGTTGCAGCTAACTTCAGACATGTGGGTGAAACTTCAGACAAAAACTTTATATATTTAGATGAAACTTCAGACAAGAACTAAAGGTAAAAAGTGAAATTTAAGACAGTAATTATGGCCAATATTTTGGCTAATGGAGTCCATCTTGTTGAAATTGTCAAAAGTCCCACATCGGTGGATGACAATTTTGAATGGGAATTTCACCCTATAAAAGGAGGCCTAATGTTTAGGATTTAGGCACACCTCTCATTTGCCTTTTTTATCTTCTTAAGGCATTTGTATCTTCTCTCTTTAGTATTATTTCACTTGTAATTTTGGAGTGAAATAAAATATTGATTGTATCCGAGGAAGTAGGCAAAATTGGTCGAACCTCGTAAATTCTGGTGTTCTTTTATTGTTGTCTTATTGTCTTGTTTATTATTTAGTGGTTGTCATAATTTTTGGTATAGTAGTTGTGACTCATTCACACTATATACATTTGGCTTCCGCAACA